GAAGCGGCAATTGACATGAGAATCAAGTTTCTTGAGGTCTACGAAGATTTTGCTCTGGTGATTGGCTAGGTTAGAGGAAACCTTGTGACTCAGGATTCCAAGCTGGTTTTGTACCAAAAACACATTGCGAATTTGATTTCCTGTTTCGATGAGATCTTTTTTCATCATATTCCTAGGGAAGAAAATCAACTAGCTGATGCTCTTGCCACCCTGTCATCCATGTTCAAGGTCAGGTGGAAGAACGAAGCTCCTTCTATCTGCATTGATCATTTGAACGAACCAACACACTATTTAGCAATCGACGACGAGTCCGATGATAAGCTTTGGTTCTACGACATCAAAAGATATTTGGCAAAACAAGAATATCCCGAGGGTATTACTATCACTGATAAGAAAGCTCTCAGACGGCTATGCGCCAAGTTTTTCTTAAGTGGTGGTGTACTGTGCAAGAGGAATTATGATTCTATGTTGCTCATATGCATGGATAGACACGAAGCAAATACAATCATAAGATTTATACATGAAGGTTGTGAGGGTTACATGCCAAAGGTCCTGCAATGGCTAAAAAGATCCTTCGAGCTGGGTATTACTGGACGACAGTTGAGGTAGATTGTTACAACTTTGCCAAAAGATGTCACAAGTGCCAGATCTATGGTGACAAGATCCATGTGCCACCAACTCCATTGAATGTTTTGACTTCTCCGTGGCCTTTCTTCATATGGGGCATTAATATGATTAGAATGATCGAGCCGAAGGCTTCCAACGGTCATCGCTTTATTTTAGTTGCCATCGGTTATTTCACCAAGTGGGTTGAAGCTGCTTCTTATGCAAATGTTACACGCCAAGTGGTTGCTAGATTTCTCAAGAAAGAGATCATTTGTCGCTATGGTATTCCTAACAGTATTATCACTGACAATGCGAGCAATCTGAACAACAAGATGATGAAGGAGTTGTGTCAAGAATTTAAGATCGAGCACGACAACTCCTCACCATATCTGCCCAAGACGAATGGTGTCATCGAAGCAGCAAACAAAAATATTAAGCGTATTATCCAGAATATGGTCAAGAATTATGGACTGGCATGAAATGCTTCCCTTTGCATTCCATGGCCACATAAATTCAATTTTTACTTCTAGTGGGGCAACTCCGTATTTTCTAGTATATGGTATGGAGGTTGTTCTACCTATTGAAGTCGAAATTCCTTTGCTCAGAGTCATCATGGAAGCAGATCTCGATGAAGCTGAATGAGTTCAATCCAGATACAACCGGTTGAATGTCATCAAAGAGAAGCACCTGAAAGTCAGTTGCCACATCCAATTGTATCAGAGACGTCTTAAGCAGGCTTTTGACAAGAAAGTTCTCTCGAGCGTTCCACTCAGACGAACTCGTGCTCAAGAGGTATTCTCCTGTTCATTTGGATCCACGCGGCAAGTGGACTCCCAATTATGAAAGACCTTTTGTTGTCAAGAAAGCCTTCTCGGGTGGAGCCCTGATCCTTAGCACCATGGACGGGGAGTTGCCACATCCTGTGAACTCCGATATAGTAAAAAAGTATTATGTCTGAAAAAAATGATGAATAAAAAGTCCGCTAGATTGGCATCCGCAAGGGCAATCTAGGAAAAAATATGCGTCCCAATGGACCCAAAAAAGAAATGTCCATGCAAAGTTTATGGACAAAAAAATAAAAATAGTAACAACCTGCTAAGTTGAACATCCGAAAGGGCGACTTAGGCAAAAATGGGTATCCCGGTGGACGAAAAAATAATAAGAATGTCCAGGCAAAAATTAGGGATAAAGGAATTTGACCGTGAATACTTGAGCCTATCTTCGTCATAGCTAGAACTCGGACGGTAAAGGATCAGTCAAATCATCATTAATAGACGCACAGTGTCGGAACCTAGACTTACAGGGGATGGTAGTCAATGTTGTAATCAATGCAAAGTCAAATTTCCCATTGCCATTGTTTTGAAATTTTATTGTAAATTTCCTCATCAAGGATTTTTACATCCTGATACACATCTTATGTACAAATTATTTTCATATTCAATAAAGTTCATCCTTTGATTTCTCATTTGTCTGTTTTCAGTATTTTGTTTGCAAATTGAACAATTATTTGTGATCACATAATGTTATAAAACGTTGTGAAACATAAAAGCTAAAATCAACCATGAAAATATTATGTATTGCATGCTTTATCGGAAATCATCAAGGGAAGATTAGTTATTTTTCTTTATAAGCTTGATCTCTAGTGAGCAATATCATGATTGGTTAGGAATGCTGACTGTGTTCCTTTTCCCCAGCAAGTACCAGTTTGGTTCTTTGGAAGGTTTATTTACCTCTCCTTTCCCTAGCAGAGCCATAGTGTCACCAACAGGCACCAGGTTGGTTCTTTGGAAGGATTTATCTTTCATTTTCTCAGGAGAGCCGTTTTCCCCAAGCAGAGATTTGTTTGCTTTTCTCCAATAAGAGCGGAAATTCTCGCAACACCCCCAACATCGAGATTGTTATTCCCCGGCAGTGATGACTTTATTTCATTTGGATCATCTTGACTTTGTTCTTCCCCATGAAGAGTCGGTTATTTGAAGATCAACCATGATTCCTTCATTCTCCAGCCAGATTCAGCTGTGGTTAGAAAGTTCCTTCCTCTCCAGCAACAGTGTTCGTAATAGTTTGGAAGTCTGAGATTTCTAAGCTCTTTCCCCAGTAGCGTCGTCGAGTTCCCCAGCGGAGGATGTCTAGTTCGTTTTGCTACAACCTTTGTTTTCTTGCAAAATCGTATCTCAACCTTTGTTGTTGCATAGCATGATATCAAGCATCATGTGATCTGTTAAGCATCATAGCATATGCATCATATCATACCTCCCTTTGACTGATTTATCTCTTCAGTAGATCTCAGCCAAACTTGTTTTTTTAGCCTCACTTTGCTCCTTCCATCAGCCGTTGTCGGCCAAATCTTTCTAGTTACTCTTTTATTTAATCCTCTTCCACCTCGAATAATCGAAGAGTTAGCGCAATTCGAACGTTCCGGTCCAAGAAGATTAAATAGGGGCAACTGTCGTAACCCAAAATTTGACCTCCTCTTTTGCCTTTGCATGAGCATGTGCATTTGCATTGCCGGCATACGCATTCACATGTTTTCTCTGTAATCTTTGTTGCAGAAACTTTCAGGTTTTACGAGCCCGATTAATCATATCCTCCTAAAGATATCACATAATAAAAAAAAGTACAAAATGAAAATTTTTATACCTATTAATTAGAGTAAGAGGTTGAAAATTTGTCTAAACCTTTATGAATTGGAGGATATAAAAAAAATAAGGATGAAACTATAGAAATTGCATTGCCATGTCCCAAATGAGGTGGGAAAGATTTATATTCACTTTTAATCATCTTGTTTATTTAAAAACAAAGTTAAAAAAACAATTTTTGAACCTTAAATTTTAATTTTTTCTTCTGAGTTTTGGTCACTTATATTATTTAGATGTTCATTTTAATGAAGTGAAAGTGATTCGTTGGACAAATGTAAGAGAACTCATCGTCAAAATTTTCTTTATTATATGACATGAATTATATATTTACAATTTTAAATTTCTTTTTAAAAAATATTTATAATTTAAAATTAAAACTAATAAGATAAGCATTAGTTGAAAATTTGAGACTATATAAAATACACGATAAATTATTGTTTCAAAGAAATTGAGAGAAAATAATAATAAAAAACAAATTTGTAAAAGAATTGTGTTTATGAAATGTTTCCAGAAAAGTGGATGATTACACGTGTTTAATATAATAATACAACTCATATTTATTTGATACTCACAAAAATAATTATGACATGTACATACAAATTATACAAATTTAATGGAATGTTATTAAATTTATTTGATTATTATTCATATTATTATTTATTAACAATATTTTTTTTTATTATTAAAAGTTTTGAAAGTAACGAAAGTTGCTATAATTATGGAGAGAAGTTTGAAAAAAAAAACTGTATTCACTTTTTGAACCATTTAATATATTTTTGAATTAATTTTAGTAATTTATATATAATGGAAGTTGTGATATATATGAAAGGATTAGTTAAATTTAATTAATAATTATTAAATATTAAATTAATAGAATTAATTAATTAATTAATAAATAATAATTCTGACGGAAAGTTTTTAGGAGAGGAATGGCAGAATTATAATTTGTATGATTTGATGATATAAAATTTAAAATATATTATCTAGACTCATATCTCCATCACACAAGTTAACACCTTTTTTTAAGTTTGGGTATGATATATAAATACTCAAACTAAATTTAACCAAAAACAATATGCAACTGCCACGTGTTGTTTAATGGTTTTGTTTGACTCGGTCAATCTTTATTATTAAAAGAAATTATAGTAAAATGATATAATATCTAAAATAGACTATTTAAATTAATTTATTTATTTAAAATTATTTAAAATATATATAATTATTTGTAAAATTAAAATATGTAACATTATAAAAACTATTTAAAATGACTAAGATGAAGGAAGCCATAATTGTGAGATTTTATTAGATTCAACTTTAATTATACCTTAAATGTGCCTTAGAAAAATATAATACAATGGTAGATTAATTTTGTCCTATATTTAATATAAAAAGTTTTTTAAATCGAAGATTTATTATATAAAATCAAAATCAATCATTAAATAACCGGTTTTTTCTCTCTCTAGTTTTTTTTTAAGAGTACAAACAACAAACATTTGTTAAGATAGTACTGTCTGTTATTGATTAAAATCTAGATGGGTCCAACCAAATCAAATCATGTATATCTAAGATTTAGTCAAAACAAAAAGTTAGTTTAGGTTTGTTTTAGTTTAAATTTGTGTATAAAAAGCATGGATTGAAACTCTTTTGATCAACTTCTTAAGAGAAAAAAACGCTCAAATTGATACTAGCAAGAAAACACAGTTTAGAAATTTTCAAGTACTTCAATCCAAGAATCCAATATTCTTGAAAATCCCAATGGCACCAAATATATCAATGAAGAAAAAAAGCAACAAGAAATGTGCACCACTTTTTTCATCTTCTATACAATCACTTCCGAGAGATTTATTACTTGACATGATTATAAATGTAACATCTCAATCTTTTGTTGATCTTTACAACATGAAATTGTGTTGTCGAGATTTTCTTGAAGTCGCGGAAGAAAACTACGTCTTTCAAAAGGTTTCTCTGAATCAATTCCCATTAATTCAATGGTTTCCTAACAAAAAAGCATTATCGTTTTTAAAACGTTGCAAGGAAAGTGGAAATATTGAAAGTTTGTTTAGAGAAGGATTGTGTGAATACTTTAGTTATCCGAATGGAAATATCGATGGTCTTGAGATGCTAAAAATAGCCACTCAAAAGGGTCATAAGGAAGCGACATACATGTACGGTATGATCTTGTTGTGTTCTGAAGACTACGAATTAAGAAAACAAGGATTCGTGCATATGCGTTCTTTGAGGATGTCAAAATGTATTATGAGTTCAAGAAAAAAGGTTCAATGTTTAGCAAATTGTTTATGGAAAAACAATGGAGTATTGTCACGCAATCAAATTCCTCTATGCAACTCCAAGGACACTTGCAAGGGATGGAGAGTGAAGAATGGTAGATGGTTATTATTTGACGACGAAGATGATGACATTGAATCGTGTGAAGCTTGTAGATGGGATCATGAATTAGAATTCTTTTATAACTTATTTAATGTTTAGGGCTTTATGTTTAATTTTAAAGGTTGTTGATTGATTACAATCACTATGCTCTAGCTTATAACAGATTTAGATTTAGAAATTTGGGCAAATAGTGAAGGATTGTCTTTTTAGTTATTGAGAAATTTGGACAAATGTTCATTATTCGGATTTTGTTTTAAGATTTATTTTATCTCTGATACACATTTTCCATAAAAAATAAAACATTGTATTATTGTTCTAAATTATGAACCGCACTAGAAGAGCAGTAACATTATGTTTGTTTGAAATATTAGTATTTTGTATTTTCAGTGATGTATTGTGAAATATTATGTTTGTTTGAAATATGTTCTAGAGATTATGTATTTCTAATTGAAAATTTGTTAATACTTAAAAGTTTTATTTGTACACATTAGGCATTAAAATGTAAGCCAAATGAAGAAATACATCTTGGCCAACAAAAAGAAATTACTTAATAGGAAAAAAATAAATAATAGGGATAGTTATATCTTGGCATACCAAATTATAGACTTATTATAGACAAGAGTATTAGAATGGAAAGACGGCAAAGAATCCCAATAACTAAAATTATTAAAAGTCAAATCATATTATTTACAATCCTAAAAAGGTAAATTTAAATTTAAGTTTTAAAAAATTTATAAATCATATTTGAGATTTTATAAGTTTATAAGACTTAAAAGGGCATAGGGAACATTTTTTTAAATTAATAAGACTTAAATAATTATATAAATTTTTAGAAAGAATTTATAATTATCTCTTTTATTTTGTTGTTGTTGGGAATCTTCCTTTAAATTTATATAAAGAATGATTATGAGGGAATTATCTTATCTAATAAAATTGATCATAAATAAATTACAAAAAGAGAAGGGATTTAAAAAATTATGTTATTCAAAATTTGCAGAATTTGTTGCATTTTTAGGATAGCAACTTTCATTTTTCATTTTTGGGGTCTACATTGTTTTAACATTGTGTGAAATATTCTAGAAAGCTCTAGACACTTAAAGATTTTTCTAAACACTTCAAGGCATTTGCTCCAATACATTAATTGGGATTGAGACCACCATGTTGCTTCATTTCCAAGCATGTGAGCCCTTAGATTTAAGTTTGCATTAGGATGGTTACCGAGTCAACTACCTAACTAACTGAGTTAACCTCCAACTCAGTGAGTTGAGGCTAACTAACTATAAGGCTAGTTCCAAGGCTACATCCAAAGCTCACTCCGAACCTAGCAACTCTGAAGCAAAACTCTATATAAGCAAATCATCACCATTTCACAAGGGAGAACCATTTCTGGACCCAATCATTCTCCCAAATTTTCACACTTGATCACTCTCAATTCTCTCTGAATTTTCTGCAACTTCTACTCATAATCTTCTTCACTTTCATCCCAAACCACACTAGAGCTCGAAACCTCCATTAAAGAGTATCAACTTCTTCATTGAAAGTGTTTTCTCTTGAGCTTAGCCACATCATCTTGCTAATTCTTCTTGCTTTCTTAGAGTTTTATTGCATCTGAATTCATCTCAAGTGATTAGTTCAAGCTTATTCGATATAAATTTAATTTTGGGTTTTCATCAGAATTTTCTCGGTTTCGCTACGGTTCGATTGTGAATTCTGTTTTCTTTGGATTTCTTTGAGTAACTTCATCATATTCTCTTTGCAACAACATCCAAGGCAAACCTCAGTCTTGTAGGCTGGTTAATTCTCCCTCTTTTCACTATTTTGATCGTTACCGTATCGTTTGGATGTGGTTTTGACGTTTTTCTCGTTTGTGAATTGATTATGCCATGATTTGATCTTCAATCTTGATGTGCTAATTGATGCCATAAGTGCTTATTTGTTGTTTTTGGACTTGATTTCTGTACATGATTGTTTGCGATAACATATGAAAGATTGCACAAATTAAAATTGGACAAAAGTGCTTTTAAAACTCAATTTTCAAGCTCTGTCTCAGTGTTAATCAATTAACACTTTTACACTAGTAAAATGTTAATCGATTAACCATGTATTTTTCAGCAAAATTGCATGTTTTAAAAGGGTTAATCGATTAACACTTTTGCACAGGCAAAATGTTAATAGATTAACACTGGTCCAGAAGGCTATTTTTGTGTATTTTTCATGCATGTTTGGCATCTCTTCCTCTTTCAACTCACATGGATTGATATGTTTGATTTCTATGGATGTTTTAACTTCTGTTTGAAGTAGGCTTGTGCATTTTCCAATTCCCAATTTATCGATTTCACATTTGTTTGCATTTTTAACATTGTATGAACATGTTCATTTTGCCTAATTTTTAATCACATGATTATTTGGTTTGTGATGCATGCTAATTGACTTTGGTACTATTTTACACTTCCATCCTTGCTTGCATTAAGATTTATTCCTCCTTGGAATGAACTTAATCTTGTTTAATCAATAATTTCCCTTTTTGCTTTAACGATTTTTCATTTCTTTGGAAAATTGTTAGCATAACTTTTCCATTTGATTAATTAATCGAAACGAAGTTTCGATTAGTCGATCTTCCCTTTTTCTCTTCTTTTGGATCTTCTTAAGCTTTGTCCTATCTTTTCCCCCGCGGAGTTGAAGATTTGCCAAGCATTGGAGCACCGTACAAAATTTACGTCGTTGTACTGCCTGCTTCGTTTCTTGCACCGCACTTTGGTTTTAGAGAAGGAATGAGAGTGGAGAATTCCTACACTCATTCTGACTACTTTGGTTAGGGGATGAATGACTTTGTTCCTGGAATAGTCGCCTCTATCTCCTTACTGTGGTTTCCCCGTTTCCCCGTCTGAGTCGATCCTTGATCGCTTGCATCTCAGCTTTTATCTCTTGGTTTGAATTCCTCCTCTAACACTCTTTTCTCTTGTGGTTGACACCGTCCTTGGTTTCCCATGAGATTTGTATTCAAAACCCTTGTTTGGTTGATCAGTCATCCTTCGGTTAAAATTTATTTCTCATCTTCCCCGGTGAAGTTGACCTTTTCTCTTCAGTTTAACATTGTCTTTCTGTTAAAACCTAATCCCCATCAGAATTTGCAACCTTCTCTTGGTTCCCTTTCCTTCCTATTTGGTTAATCACTGCCTGTCAGTTTAAACGCCATTTGCCTTTTTTCAGTTAATCGCAGTTCATTTGTTAACGTTGAGTTTTCTTTGGGTTAATCACCATTCTCGGTTAATCACTCATTCCTCTGTTGATCACGGTTCATCCGTTAAAACAAATTTTCTTTGAGGTTAATCACTTCCTCTTGGTCAATCACCCTTTTCTCAGTTAACCATAGTCCGTTTGTTAACATACTAATTTCCTTTTGAGTTAATCACCTTCTCTTGGTTAATCATTCATTCTTTCGGTCTATCACAGTCCGTCTATTAGATATTGAATCCCCTTTAGTTAGCAACATTTCTTTGGTTTGAATACTGCCACCTTGGGTTAGAAACCTTTGTTCGGTTCAAATACCCTTCCATTCGGTCGAGTGTTGTTCATTCAGTCAGGGCACCGTCTTTTGGGTCCCAACCTTTGTTGGTTTCACACCCGTTTTCTTGGTTGATCACTATTTATCGGTTAAAACCACTTCCTTTCTCTATTTCTCGGTTAACCACTGTTTATCAGTTAATATACTGTAATCCCCTCGGAGTTAACACCTTTCTTTGGTTCCTTACTATTTTTCTTCTGATTCATCGTAGTCTGTCTGTTGGTGTAGCACCCAAAATTTTTTCCACCTTTTTCATCATATCTTGGCTTATGTTTCATATCATTTTTTGCATTAGCATTTGTACATAGCATTGATCTTAGGTAGTGAATCAAGGTATCTTACTTAACAATCAATAAAGGAACTTCATCTTAAAAGCTTAACCAAGAGCTTAAGATTAAATTTGTGGCAATATCAAGTCACAAGGTCTCCATCATCATAAAGGCATGTTAATCAATCACTTGAATCAAGAGCACACACATTGATTCTCCTCTTTCTATCTCATGGATAACTGTCTAGAGTTTTGGTTCAAAAGGAGATTTGTGGCTAGTTATTTGGGCAAGATATGATTCTAAATCTCAATATACACCTTGAGGGTCCTCTACATGAATTATGTGTCATCATAAGCCATCACAAGAGCCTCAGTCAATGGAAATGGTCCTAGGATTTCATCTTGTCAACAAAAGTCAACTGTGGTTCAATGGGGTCAAAGTCTTGGATCTCAAGGTCAACCAAGGGCATGATAAGTCTTTTCAAGTGATTTCATGTGTTTGGAACAAGAAAAGTCAAGGAGGAACATAAAATCAGGAGTTTGACTAGATTAGGGTTTTGGTTGAAAATTTTCTAAGTGTAGAAAATCCTAATTCTAGCCATCTTGCAACTTCTATAACTTTCTCATTTTTGATCCAATGAAGGCAAACTTGCTATCAAATTAAAGAGGACATCATGAACTACAAGTTTTTGGAAGGAGACATGTCTAAAAGATTCATGGTTTGGGAGATATGATGAGCTAAAGTTGCGAAAAATGAGATTTTGACATTTCAACACTTTTTTTTCTAAGTGTAGAAAATCAGTTTGAGGTATCTACTTTCAAGCCCATTTTTTATAGTGATACAAGTTTCATTTGAATTTTTCTACAACATGAGAGTTGTAGAACTTCCTCCAAGATTTCTTTTGAGTACTAGATCATCTCCATTGGATGTGTAGAACTCAAGTTATGATACTCTTAAATTAGGGTTCCAAAGATGTTAAGTTTGACAAGTTGTTAGACATAAGTTTCAAAGGCATTTTTCATCAAGTTCTTCATCTCAAGTGATTTTTCCCATAACATGAAAGTTGAAGATCATTCTTCAAGCTTTCCAACTATGTAGATTTAATCATCATTGGATCATTTTTGAGCAATTTATGATTGCTCAAAGTAGGGTATTTCATATGATGAATTCCATAACTTAGAATTTTCTTGATTTCTTTTGGATCAGCTTCATATACCAATCTTCACGCTCACTTTTGAGTAACCTCCAAGCATCAATTCCATTTT